TATTGTCAACCTTAGTATTTTAGACATATTCTTAAGTACTGTTCATTTTAATCTTTATCCTCAAAGTGGACCAAATACTTCTGCAGCTAAGACTAACATTCAGAACAATGTTTCATTTTGCAACATTGCTGGAGTTAGGGTTTCTTTTCCAACTCCCTAACCCCCAGTCCATCCCCAATTGTGCACTTTTGTTTGAGCTGTCTTTCAAAAGGGAAATCAAATGAATCATGCCGGATTCAGTCTGAGGCTGACGTCTCTTCAGGAATTTTGTCTTCATGAGCCCTGGTTTACCCTGTTCTGGTGAAGAGAAGGGGAATTAGGAGGTGTGTGGATGTCAGGATATGTTGCGGAGAGTGCTGAGGATAATCTTCTCCTCTGCATTACTTATAACTAATATCTTATAGCTAAGTGATCACCATAGCTAATATCTGCTCCCATCACGTGCTCTGTGAAAGGATTTGCTGGTCAAAACATTTTATTTATTGGACAGATTGAAATTTGCTATATCGTTGAGAAAGCCCAAACTTTTCATTTACTTTTTTTTTTTTTTTTTAAGGTTTTTATTGTGAATTTAATGAAAGTTTACAGGGAAGATCATCAGTTTTATTTTCAACAAATCATACACCTTGTTTCATTACATTGATTATAATCCCCTCCATGTACCACCAGTTAACAGTATTTCTCTCTATCCACTTTAGATTTTTTTTGTTTTTTAAAAAATAACACTCAGGCATATATAATAATTTGTATCTTCAAAGGCATAGTCTGCAAGTCTGCCTCCTGGCCGATAGCTCTTAGTCCCTCTCTTCCCATGAATCTAGAGTCCTCAGCTGCTCCCTCTATCCATGACCCATCTTTGCCTCCGTCTCTGGCGTCTCTGCTTCTTTGGATAAGGTCCCGCATTCTGCTTGTGCTCTTCTCCCTTGATGGTCCTAGGGTCCTCTGTTTCTGGACTGTAAGATTAACCACTCCCCTGTTTTTGTTACAAAACTTCTATATTTACAATTGTGACAGTTGCAATTAGTCATGATAACTATTATTTACTATTGAATCATATGAATCTTATCCCCATCTCTTCTCACTGGACCCATCTCAACAAGAAGAAAGACTCTTTCTTTCCCCCCATACTCTTAAACTAAACTCCCTCTTGAAACCTTGTAAGCCAGTCACTTCATACCTTTATCGCCCCCTCATTTTGGTAACCAATGTCTAAGTAGCCCGTCCCTATCTACCTGTGTACAGAGGGGATAGTATTGATATTTAATGTGAAGACCCCTTCCCTCTCTGTTGTTATTTAGAGTTACTACCTCCATGAGTATAGGTCAGGTTCATCAAATTGTAGCAATTTACCCTTGTTTCCTCTATAAAAAAAAATTTTTTTTTTGTAATCTTTCTCTATTAGAGTTCTGATTCTCAAGCCATCAAGGCTAGGTCAATGGGTACTGTCTGCAAGTTTGGGTGTTTTTGTGCATCTCCCCTCACTTCATGTCAGCTGGAGGCTTCACTCTCAGCTCTAGCCCTCTGTGGCTATGTCCTTGTCCATGGACTCAAGTGTCCTCAGGTCTTACCAAACTTTGCACCAACCAGCTCTTCCTCTTCTCTCTCTCATCTCCAGGTCACCAGGAATCAATGGACTGAGGTTGAACTCAGCCCATTTCTTCACTGCTGCCTTTCCCTCTTGTCCACTTACCAGTCTTTATGGCTTCCTGTCAAACAGCTTGCTTATTCTTGTAGTAGCCAGTCATGCTGACATTTTTGTTTCAGATTTTTCCTGATGATCTTTCTTTGAAAATGTATCTTGTGTTGCTCTAGTTGTTCCAGGCTGGTCTGCTTGTCCTTGCTAGTGTGAATATCCCATCTCATAAGGTTCTGGATGGGACTCAGGATTCTACCTAAGGTCCTATACTCTGCAAAAGCTTTGCAAGAGGCCTATTTCACTGGACAAGTTCTAGAACTGCTTTTAGGTATTCCAATCAGTTATAGGCTGAAGATAGGCTTACAAGTTTTCTGTAATCATGTTTCCCAATATTCCTTTCTATCCCACGCAAGTGTCTATTTTACAATAGTAGGCAGGGGAAACTAGTATTCATAAGGCAGTCAAGGATTTTAGTATTATTTGCCCTCTTCAAGCTATACCTAGATCCCTGTATCCCAGAGCCCTGTTGTTCCAAGGTTGAATATGCATCACTCCTTATCTCTGTCCCACTAGGCCATGCAAACCTGTCTCAGTGTTCCCCTATCTATCTTGTTCTTCTGCCTCCTCCCCTTCTTGTATTACCCTCCCCAACACCCAAATTAACCCCCCCCATTCCCACCCCCACTGTTATGGTTACCTTATATTCCATTAACTCTTTCCTCCATTTAAGAAAGTCTATTTTTTCCTATAATCTACCTGACCTTCTCACCACCTGGATCTCTGTTCCTCTGTGTTTACCTTCTTTCACATTGTAATTGTTTTGATCATAGACTGTCCTCCCAGATCCTCCACCTCCATTCTTATAATTTTATTCTGTTCTTGACTCTTCCATTTGTCGACTGAGTTCATGGTGATGCTGCCATGTACGCCATTCTCTGGTTGTTGTCAGTTCTTGTTGGTTCTCAGTCCACAGAACTTCCTTTAGCATGTTTTTCATCACAGGGTTGGCTTTGACAAAATCCCTTAGCTTCTGTTTATCCTGAAATGTTTTGATTACACCATCGTATTTGATTGACAGCTTGGCTCGGTAGAGGACTCTTGGTTGGATTTTTTATTTCTTTCAGCGTTTTATATATGTCTCCCCATTGCCTTCTTGCCTGCATGGTTTCTGTTGAGATATCTGAGCTTAATCTGATTTGCTTGCCTTTGTATGTTACACTTCTCTTTTCCCTAGCTGCTTTCAGGATTCTGTCCTTATCTTTGATTTTGGAGAGCTTGATTATTATATGTTTTGGTGATTATCTTTTAGGGTCTGTCCTTCCTGGAGTTCATTGAGCTTCTTGAATGCTTATCTTTTCACTTTTCAGGATGTTAAGAAAATTTTCTCCCAGAAGCTCTTCAACTATATCCTCTGTGGACTTGTGTGATTCTTCCTATTCCAGGATGCCGATAATTCTTAAGTTATTCCTCTTCATGTTATCCATCATGAATCTTAGGCCTTCTTCTGATTTTTTAATCCTTTTATGTGTTTGGTCTTCTATCTTAGTAGTGTTGAGAGATTTATCTTATAACTCACTAGTTCTGGCTTCTAGCTCTTCAATTCTATTCCTTTGCCCTTTCAGTGTATTGTCTATTTCTGATAGTCTATTATTAATCGTTTGGAACTCTTTCTGTAGGTTTTGAATTGTTTCATATTATATCTATTTTATTTGATTGTTCCTGTAGCACTTTCCTGACTTCTTCCTTATTTTTTTCAATGCCATTGTATAGTGTTTTGATACATTTTATAATCACTTTTCTGAATTCCTTTTCATGCATTTCCAAAGTCTGCCCATCTTCCAGTATGGAGTGTAGGTCTACTTCCAGCTCATTTGCCTCAGTCACTTTATCTCATTTCTGGACATGTGCTGATATGGTCATCTCCTTCTGTTTTTTGGGCATATTCAGGAGTTATCTGTGGCCTTAATACTTAGATGGGTGTGTATTTTGGTATTGTTTATGCTTTCTAATTGCATCCAGGTAGATGTGATCAGGTGATAGACTTCCCTTTTCACTCTTCTTCCTGAGAAATTTCAAGATGCCACTGTTGATCATTGTGATGTTAACTCAGGACTTAATTTTTGGTCTATTTCCTTTTTAGTCTGCCTGTCCCACTCTGCAATCCCCATTGAAGCCTTTTTCCTAGTGATAAATAGTTAAGGGCCGGCTGTGGCCGTTTTGTGCTGCCATTTGGTTTTAAGTGGAAACTGTCACTTTAAATTTCAAGGAGATCTGTGTGCATACATAATAGAACCCTCCAGGGGTGGGGGTAGGGTGTCCACTAGCTCAGGCACCCCCTCTAGTCACCTTAATTGAGGTGCACAGACAGCAAGAGACCAATGAACTGATACAAAAAAAAAAAAAATGTCCACACTTTTATCTCTGCAGTTCTGTCAGGCGTCCATGGCTGCTCTGATCCTTTTCCCACTCGGTCTCATCCAAGATGGCAGCTCTGGGAGCAGCTGAGTGTTTTGAATTAGAAACCAATGGATTTCTTGCTTCTGCTACAAATTCCCTTAGCTGTAAGCCTTCCAACCTTCTAAATATTCCTTTATATGTGGTTCAGAGTTCTGGGACCATCCCCTGAGCCTGCTTGGTATGGTATTCTGTGTTGTTGCTGATGGAGCTCCTCACTGCACTTCTACCTGATCCACCATCTTGTTTGTTCTCCCTTTTCATTAACTTTTATTGTGAGCATTAGCAAAAGCAGAAAGTTGTATTTACATAACTGGTAATTTAATTATTAATATGACCATCTGTCTAGCTTTCATTGTCATCATTAGAAGTTTGGGGAGAATTCTACTTTTATGTGTTTGGTTCAGCAAAAATAACGTATTTATATGATGATAACCATTAGGTTAATTAGAATTTTATTCTTTTGTTGAGTTGTATTGTCTTAAAGGTGTACATTGATGCATACCCTTAGTGATTAATTGGAATCTCTCTTTATTGAAATGCTAGCTATTTAATAGCATACTTTCCCAGTGTGGCTCAAAAAAGTGCTCAGAATTAACTAGCTAGGAAATGCAGAAAAATTGACATAATTGTAAAAGACATTTTAAATGAGAACAAGGGATCTAAAATGGCTCTTACATCCTTAGCGATTTGCATATATTACCATTCAACCAGAGGCAACATTGAAGATTTTTAGTTACACTAATATTTGAAAATAGTTGTCTAATATAGTTTTTAAGAGCTCAATTTATGATAGTGAAACATACCTTATTTACTTATAAACTTTATTTAAACTTTATGCACAATTCTTTATATAAACTCTGCTTGGGGGTTTGTTGCCTTCCAGATGAGAAGTCAGATAGTTTATTCTTCATACCGGATCTTCACGAAAGTTCACTTGAACTTTTTCTTTAATTTTTTTAGAGTTTACTTCACATCTCACAAAGAGTTTCTCCTGTGTTGGGTGAAGTTGTAGATCCTCCATGTTTTCTGAGCAAAATGTCATTCTGAATAGAAAACAGAAAACAAATGCAGCACTGGATTTTAGATGGAGCTCACTGAGGTGTTTCATTCTCGGTCAAACATTTTCTCAATTTAAGTAAGGCATGCAATGTTGTTTCTTTAATTAGATTCTTATGTTCACAAATATTTTCAAAACTTCAGAGAAAAACAAAATCCAAGTCAATGAAAGCAATCCTCTAAGGCTTCCTGGGGCTTTGTACTAGGGTGGTTTCAATTCTGTAAGAATTGAAAGTCCTAGGGACAGCCTTCTTTTGTTCATCCTTAAGCCAACCATCAAAGATTGGAGGGCAACTTATTATCTTTCAGTATATTGCCGTGACTCTAGGGTAAACATTCTTAGTTCCTTCAACTGTTCCTCAAAAGCAAGCTGAACTGGACAGCCTTTCTTCTTTGTACATGCTCCCATGTGTCCATGTCATTCAAAGATCCCAGGGGATGTAGCATCTGCCATTAATTCTTACCAGTCCCAGCACTGGAAGCCCCTTCCCTTTATGGGTGTAGAACTGTGTACCCCCACTGTGAACAATGGGTCTCTCTTGAAGACCAACTGCTAGACTGCTCTAACTTCTAGCTTGCCTTGAGATGTCATTTTCTTTTACTAATTCCAATTCCAAAACATAATGAGTCTCAGAGAATGCTAGTTTATATCTTTCTTTTTCTTTTATTGCATCTATGGTCAAGTCTTTAAGGGGCTCTGATAGCATAATGGATTACGAGCTGGACTGCTAACCTCAAGGTCAGCAGTTTGGATTTACCAGTTGCTCCACAGGAGCTAGATGAGTTTTTTTGCTAGATGAGGTTTTCGCTCCTGTAAAGACTTGTAGCCTCAGAAACCCCAACTCACTGTGAGTTGGAACTGACTCATGGCACACAATCACCCCCCCCACCCCCACCACCACCCAAGGTCAAGTCTTCATAAAATAAGAAAATAAGTGATATGTGCAAGTAATTACTGCAGGAATGGAACATGTTACTCATTCTCATTTCATGTCTTGCTGTAGGGTCCATGCTTTTGACTTTTCTCTTCACCCTCACAACAAACTCTGCTCACCCTTGACTTTGTGCCTTTTGGGGAAAGAAACTACCTCATATTCAATTCCTCCCAGAGAAGCACACAATCTGTTACTTAGTCCCTCATTGTCTCTCCCTTTAAAAAAAAATTCTTGCAGTTAGCAGAGAGATGAAGAGCACAGCGGTTGGTGCTCATATGCTGGCTTTGGAGTTTCTGTATGCAGATGTTAATAAAACGAAAGTGAAGGTTAGTATCATCTTCACTAATGACTCTAGAAAAGGAGTCTCAGAGAGGTGGAGTGACGGAGACCACTTGGATGGTAAGCCGTGCAGTCAAGATTTGAGTTCAGAGCTGACTGCGGAAGTCTGTCTGCCTCACTACTTAGACCAGTGTGTGGCTCCGAGGCGATGCCTCCCCTCTCCCCGCCACGGTACAGCCCCCACACCATCTGATGGTCTTCTCAGACTTCCGAGACTTCAGGGCTGGCTAATGAAAGTGTGGTCCATCACCAACAGCATCAGTGCCACCTGGGAGGATGTTAGAAATGCAGAATCTCAGGCCTCCTGAAGTAGCTTTTGCCTCTTAACATGATGCCCAGGTGATTCACGAGCAGGTTAAATTTTGAGAAACACTGAGATGGAGCATCCTATTAGTAAAATTAATGCACCCATTAAGTTCTAAAGTCTCTTTAAACCAAGAGCCACAACTTGGATATTTTTGGTATCCTCGGTGGTACCTGGTACTGGGTAGACACATAAGAGGAATTCAGCATTTATTGCTCAAAAAAACTGTACTCTCCCTATTGCTGCTTCCTTTTAGCATCTACCCCTACGACCCTAAAAGGGTTTGATGGACATATATGTTAATGCCTAGCACAGCAACTCTGCTGGATTAGACTAAGAAACATCAGATCACTCGGGGGTTAAGACTAATGGCTAGGACTCTACTGGTACAATGGTTAAGTACTTGAATGCTAAGTGAAAAGTTGGCATTTTGAACCCACATTTTGACTCCATGGAGTCCTGGTGTGGCTCTATGGGTTAATGTGCCGGACTGCAAAGCTGTTTGAACTGCAAGGTTGGTGGTTCAAGCTCACCAGTTGCTCCTTGGAAACCCTATACAGGGTCGCTGTGGGTCGGAACTGACTCAACGGCACTTCACAACAACAACTGTGGCTCCATGGATGATCAGCTTCTGTAAAGGTTACAGCCTAGGAAGACTTATTGGGGGTGGGGTGGGGGCAGTTCTACTCTGGCACATGGGGTTGTTGAGTTGGAATTCATTTGCCAGCACCTAGCAACAACAATAACAACAACAAGCCTAGTGGAGGACAGACTTCTGTCGAAACAGTGTATAGGCCACCAATGGGCAATGAGTTAGGTACACCCGAGTCAGCACTGGGCTTGGACAATTATTAGCAATGTCCCCAAGCTTTGTAACTTCCACGAGTCTCAGATTCCTGCCCTGCACCACTCACACTACCCATTTCAGAGAACTGTCTGGAAGATGAAATGGGATTGGTTGGCATAGGGCACGCAGTCCAATGCCTACTGTGCAGAAGGAGTTCTGTAAGTGCCAGTTCCCTCTCCTCCCCTCTTTCTTCTTCAGTATCATGTGGGCTTGCGTCTGTGGAGAAGGGAGCATGTTTTATTCAACTCTTCAGGTCAAGTTCCATAGCATGGTCATGGGGAACAGCTTCTGGAACTGAGGCATTACTTCCCAGCTAAGAAAACTCAGCGTGAGGTGGTACTACGAAGTGACATTGTTCTAAAGGGCCAAAAAGTCATGCAAGAATGGCTAAGTGTCTAAGAGGAGAGAAGCAGTTTAATTTTCTCAAATTGATCATGTGGAGGAATCTGTTGGCAGACTAGAGTATGTTCTTAGGGAGATAAAGTCTTATGGTGTTGTTACACAAGGAACTCTGGGGTATATAAATCTGCCATGGGCCTGCTCCTGCCAGTGAAATTTGATGAGTGAGGGAAGCATGTAGTTTGAAGGTCAGGGGTTTGCTCTTTCTCATTTCTACTGAGGGCCAATGAGAGAAAGGAGCTCCCCAACAAAGGGAATGTGAGAGGACAGACAAATTTCCTGGATACAGGGGGAGGAGATAGAAAGGGTGTGGGGAAGGGCAGGATTCTTTATTTGTGGAGAACTACAGAACTGTAGACAAGCATGGTGGCCACTGGCATCCCTTTCCTCTGCGGAGGACACTGTTGGAACTGCTAGACCAACTTTTCTTTTCTTTACTCCCTATTCCCAACCCAGTCCCTTATTGTGGCTAGGACTTTGGGGCTAGGAGAGATGTTCAATCACACACAACAGTGCTCACTGGAGTGGTACAGATGGTTAATGCTCTCAGCTGCCAACGGAAAGATTGGCGATTTGAGTCCAACAGAGGTAGTTCCAAAGAAAGGACTGAAGATCTACTTCTAAAAAAATCAGTTATTGAAAAGCCTATGGAGTACAGTTCTACTGTGGCACACACGGGGTCATCGTGAGTCAGAGTTGGCGCCACAACAACTGGCTACGGGAGACTGGTCCTCATCAGAATTTGGAGGGGGGCCTTATTAGACATATGTCCTTACAGGGGGGCAATAAATCAGATCTGCAGGTGGGCCTTGGAATTCTACATTTTAATAAACTTCCCAGTGTTTCTCCCACACTTTAGAATCTGAATGCCATCACCACAGAGACTGAGCTTTTGAGATTGTGACCTGTTGAAAGTAACAATGAAAATGAAATGTCACATCTAGGTCTTTGCCATTCAAAGTGAGGGCCTAGAAGTCGCCTTGCCTTCACCTGGTGCTGCTTGAGAATCACTGAGCTAACGAGGTGCTTCTCAAACTCCTGAGACAGGTGGCCATTAATCGCCGGCAGTGGGAAGAGGTGAGAATGGGAATCAACAGCCCTGATTCAAATTCTAGTCCTTCTATCTATTGCTGCGTAAGCTTGGAATGGTCCCTTCACCTTTCTGAATGTTTATACTTTATCTTTAGGGCACATAGAAACCACTTCAAAACAACCAAGACAGACTATAAGTATTAAATTGTGAAAGTGCCTGGCATATAGGTAGGTACATAAGATATGTTAGTAGGAGATTGAATCTCCACTCACCTTTGCTGGGTTTCTCCTGCTTTGGCTTTGATGGTCTTCAGAAGGAGACCTGGGTAGCTGGGCCCCGAGCCCCACGGGATGAGAGTTTGGACTGTGTTCCAGATGTTGGCCCATACGGCACTGTTTTCCCACTTAAACTTGATCATGGTCAGCTCACCGATATCAAAATCCAATGTGATTAGAAAGGAGTAGGTTTTATTGCTAGTAATTCCTTCACCCCTTGAAGAGACAAAGGAAGCCAGTTATTGGTAACAGCGAAGTGATGCATAGGGACATTTAGGATGGGTTGCATTTGCCTGAGCTACGTGGGATGGTCTTGTTTTCTGCATTTCCCAAACTGGTGTTCAACTGAAATGCAGAGAGATAGTAGAAGCAATATGTGTGCCAGGGAACATAAGGTTTTCCAAACCAATAAGGTTGGGAAAACCATATTATTTTTCTGTGTTAAAAGGCTCTGTAAAGTCCTGCAGTAGTGTATCTAGCTAAGTTTGCTTAGCTCAGGCTGTTTCTTCTAACTTCTAGGCAAAGAAGTGCAGCCAGAGTGCTCCTTGGAGGCCAGGATGGCTAAGCTCCGTCTCTCATACTTTGGACATATTGTCAGGAGGGAACAGTTGCTGGAGAAGGATGTCATGCTGGGTAAGATGGAGGGTCAGAGAAAAAGAGGAAGACCCCCAACGAGATGGATTGGCCAGGTGGCATCATTGATGGCATCAAGTGTGGCAGTGGTACTGAGGTTGGCCCAGAATCGGACATTATTTTGTCTGCTGTGCATGGGGTCGCTATGAGTTGGTTCCGACTTGATGGCACCTGACAACAACAACAACAACAACAACAACAACAACAAGGCAAAAAAAGTCAGGGAAGCTGCTCTTGAGGAGGGAATGGAGTTCTCAGTAGGTTCCAACAGTACAGCAGGCCCACATCACACTCTTCTTCTCCCCAGCAATGTTGGTTGTTTTTTATCCCCTCCATATAAGTAAAAATTTCTGTTAAGACAGTAAAGCATAGCAATAATAGAAAACCACATATGAAAAGAGAATGTACCAATTTGGAGCAAAATTAAATGTCAACTCAGGATAATGTGTTGGACTGTTCAACGTCAGTTTGAATCACAAGGCCAGTGGTTCAAACCCATGAGCTGCTCATCAGAAACCCTATACAGGGTCATTATGAGTTGGAACCAACTTGACGGCACTCAACAACAACAACAACAGGTATAATTATCAGCTTTATTCACTAGACTGCTCTCCTCCCAAGACATTAAAATGCCCCAACATTGACAGAGCTGCCAGATGCCCATCGCACTATTTTCAACAGTCTCCTGGGGAGTGCGGAAGTCATATTAGATTTAGGGTGAGGAGATGGATGAAGGGTCCCTTGCTCAACTCATCCTAGCACTGCCTGCAGAGTGTTGTAAAGTATCCTTTAGTAACCCAGCCAACTTCCTGTTAGGCTCCCCAAGGACAGATCCCCATTCTCTCTAGTGTGGAGCACCCACACATTCTTGCTGAATAGCTGAGTCAGTGTGATAAACAGTGCTCCAAAGCAGGCAGTTTCCAGGAAGTTGGGAACTGTTCCTGGAGTGGGTGAAAGACTAGCATCACCCAATCCAGGAGCAGTGTCCATGCTGAGGGTCTACATGCTGGGCATCTACTTTCTGACAAGTGAACCTGGGGAACCTCTGAGTGAGGGTTCATGTTATGAGCAGGTGTGTTCCCCCAAAATATGTGTTTGGAGTCCTAACCCCTCCACCTGTGGCTTCATCCCATTTGGAAATGGGAGGATTCTCTTTTTGTTATATTAATGAGACCATATCAATGAAGGGTGTGTCTTAAATGTAATGGCTTTTGAGATATAAAAAGAGCAAATTAGACACAGCAAATGAAGCACAAATGGGGGAAAGAGAGGTGCCAGATGGAATCACCAAGAAACAGAGGAACCCTGGGCTTGAGAAGCTGAGGCAAGGACCTCCCCCCGGAGCTGACACAGAGAAACCCTTCTCCAATAGCCACGATGGGGCCCTGATAGCATAGGTTAGTTATGAGTTGGGCTGCTAACTACAAGGTCAGCAGTTTGAATCTACCAGCTGCTCTGCGGGAGAAAAATGAAGACCTGCTCCTGTAAAAAGATTTATAGCCCTGGGAAGCCTATACATGGCCATATAAGTCGCATTTGACTCGATGGCAAACAACCACCACCGACCATGGCCAGTGGTTAACAAACCTTTGTTTGTGAAGCCCCTCACTGTGGTTTTTCTATTACAGTAGGAGTGGGTAACTAAGACAAGGATGAAGGCTAGATGGGGAGGAATGGTGATGTCAGCTGATGAGATTAAACTCTTGTATGTAGAAAGCATTCTAATTTTCTTGGAATCCAGATTCTGGAGTCCATGGAGTTGGGGTGACCACCTAAGCCATTTCCCTTAAGTGTTAATTTGAACCTTGAACCTTGAACCTTGAAGAAGAACTGGTTTCTAAAATGGCATAATGGTCTAGATAAACTAGTAAGATCATTTTGTCTTTGGCACTGTGCTCTTTGGAAGAGCTGGTTTTGGGAAAGAGAGACTCCAAAGGACCTATGCGTTACGGTAAATTGGTAATTATTTTAATTATGTTTCAAGATGGAGGTGCTATGTCTTCCAGACTACAAAGTGTTTATCAGTTCTGGTCCAGTCCCCTTTTCCACAGAAATGCCAATCAAATGTGATATAAGAATTTTGGAATTCTTCTCATCTTCAGAAGAATTGTAGAGTTGAAATGTTATCTCAATCTGAAAACCAACCGTATATTAAATCAACTTCAATCAATTTCTGTTATTGACATAATATGTTTGTTTTGACAGTGCCCAGCTGAATGAAACCAGCTTGCTTTCTGGAGTATGGTTTTCAGCTTCATCCCTCCTTCCTGCTCCGATTTCTTCCTTCCACAATGCAGGTCGTGCTAACGTAGAGTATCCAGTGGAACTCCCGTCACACTGAGGAGGGACGACAAGGTGTAGGCTTGGGTGAATGTTTCATCAGACCGGATGTTTGGGGTAGCTGTAAGGACTGAGCACAGTAAGTTGTGTGTAGCCTGCCCCTTGAGAAGTGTGAAGTCCACCTAGACCCTGTGAGAAAAATAAGCATGTCGTCACCCCAGACAGGGAGCTGTGTCCCAAACTCACAGCGTGATGGGAATTTTTTGCATTTCTTCTTTGGTTCCGAGTAATGACATGGTAAAAGTAGGTTCTACTGGCTTCTCGATTTGGTTGATGAACTGGACCTTGAACTGGTAATGATAAACTAGAGAGAGAGAAAAAAAATAGTAGAAATTTTATTTCAAGGCC